TAGTAGTGATATTGCAGAAGGTCTTGATGGTAAGGTATGTCTTTTTGCTGATGATACTAAGATATTTAACAGGGTTGATGTTCCAGGGGGGATAAGCCAAATGGCTAATGATTTAGGTAAACTAGAAAAATGGTCAGAGTTGTGGCAACTGACATTTAATGTGGATAAGTGCAAGATAATGCATCTTGGACATAAAAACCCAAGGGCAGAGTACAGAATATTTGATAGAGTCCTAACCTCAACATATGAGGAAAGGGATTTAGAGGTGATTATTTCTGATGACTTAAAGGTAGGCAGACAATGTAATAGAGCAGCAGGAAATGCTAGCAGAATGCTTGGTTGTATAGGGAGAGGTATTAGCAGTAGAAAGAGGGAAGTGCTCATGCCATTGTACAGACCTCACTTGGAGTATTGTACACAGTACTGGAGACCGTATCTTCAGAAGGATATTGATACCTTAGAGAGGGTTCAGAGAAGGGCTACTAAACTGGTTCATGGATTGCGGGATAAAACTTACCAGGAAAGGTTAAAGGATCTTAACATGTATAGCTTGGACGAAAGACAAGACAGGGGGGATATGATAGAAACAGTTAAATATATAAAGGGAATCAACACAGTAAAGGAGGAGACTATATTTAAAAGAAGAAAAACTACCACAACAAGAGGACAATTAGAGGGACAAAGGTTTAAAAATAATATCAGGAAGTATTACTTTACTGAGAGGGTAGTGGATGCATGGAATAGCCTTCCAGCTGAAGTGGTAGAGGTTAACACAGTAAAGGAGTTTAAGCATGCGTGGGATAGGCATAAGGCTATCCTAACTATAAGATAAGGCCAGGGACTAATGAAAGTATTTAGAAAATTGGGCAGACTAGATGGGCCGAATGGTTCTTATCTGCCGTCACATTCTATGTTTCTATGTTTCTAATTGTTACACTAAACTAAGTCTGCCATTCCAATTAGGAGAATAATTTAAATCTAACAAATCTTAACTTTGTATTTATCCTCCTGAAAACCTCAGATTACCTCCAGTTTATCTCCAGAATATCTCCAACTACACACTTAGAAGTAGCACCAAGCTATATTAGACAAGCTAATGAGACCAAGCCTTATATAACTCCTAAAATCACCACCCACTAGGAATGTTTAACACCTGGGTAGGCCTCTGCTTATTTGCAAACAATAGCTAATTAACCAGCAATCAATAGCAAGTAACTAGCTTAATCAAATCAAATGCCTTATAATTACCAACAGGAATTCAAACCTTGTGCAATCAGTAACCTTTTCCTACAGATGAATCTTACCTGTAACAGTAGAAAAGAAAGCTCTTAGCACAACTCTTAGACAGTTGAAGCTTCTGTAAAACTCTCCAGAATATCTCCAACTACACACTTAGAAACAGCACTTAGGTAGCACCAAGCTATATTAGACAAGCTAATGAGACCAAGCCTTATATAACTCCTTAAAATCACCACCCACTAGGAATGTTTAACACCTGGGTAGGCCTCTGCTTATTTGCAAACAATAGCTAATTAACCAGCAATCAATAGCAAGTAACTAGCTTAATCAAATCAAATTAATCCTTATAATTAAGGAGTGGAGGTAAGTTTTTTAGCTTTATTAATTTATTTAACGCTTGTATGTTCTATGATTTCACAAAACTTATACAATTCAAATCAATCATAAACGAACACAGACTAGAAAGACAACCACTTTATACGATTTCATAGGGTACTGAGTTCAGAAAAAAATAAATATATTTGAAGATTGCACTCAAAAGGTTTAAAGGAAATTTCACTTATCAACCAACCCTGAATATATGCCTGCATCCTGGATTTCTCTCAAGCTCTGTTTTCAAATCTAGATTTTGGTTGTGCTAAGAGATATTAAAAATACTTTACCTAAGGTTTGGATACTTGGATATATGATTATGGTATGTACGGCACGTATCATTGAATCGAATTGGAATACTATATTTAAAGTACAATTGTGTTGAATGACATGTGATGTTAAAACAGTGTTGCCTTGAGTTGCACTGAACCAAATATCTCCTAATAGGTCTTTGCCCACAGTTGAGATGGGATTGTGATTTCTGTGTCCATTCGAGAATCAGATGAAGGTAAATATTAAAATTCAGTCTATATACATTTCATTCATAGAGGAAAAATCACTTTTCCATGTTTTGTGTGTTGTGGAGTACTTTACGTTATTTTTGTGCTATCTATTAACTAATTATTTGAAGAATTTAAGTGCCTGAACCAGCCTAAAATAAGTTTTTGTTTTTTTGTTTTTTTAAATTCACCTTCATTTTTAAGTTATACATAAGGGACTGCTTCTTCTAATGGGGAGTGTAATCTCTGGAATTTGTTCACAGTGGGCGGAGCTTAAAGATACACTCCAGGCATATAAACCACTTCATCTTGCTGAAGTGCTTTATGTGAGAATAATGTGTCCTCTTTTATTTCTTTTTATATAGGTTCCCATTCAATAGAAATCAGCACATTTATACCTTGTTATGCCTGCTGCTTTCTGGTACTTTAGCTCAACAAAAATAAATTCAAGAGGCAGTCAATTGCCTAAAGCACCTGACTTGAAAATGCTTTTCAATGAGCTCTACAACAGCCAACAGCTCAATAAGAAATCTGTGTTTGGACAGCAACAGAAAATCTGTGCTGGGGAAGAAGGGTTGTGGATTACAGTGGCAGCAGATACTAAACCTGCAGCTATTGCAATCCAGTTGTAAAGATACATACCATTCCACTATTCCACTCACCTGTTTCTGACACCAGGTACTCTAGCTCTGCCTTTTTATGGCATTTTTAAGCCACGCCCATGAATGATGTCACATTTTTGCCACTCACAAACGTTTTGGGGGCATGACTATCATGGTAATTCTCCATGGCTTATTAATACTAAACTTTCCATCTTTTCAGTGCCCAGTTGTGGTTTCCTTGTGATCCCAATAGGGCGTTCTTGATTATCTGTCATTTCCTTGTTATCTATCTTGAGTTGTTTGACTTCTCCTTACTCCTTACTCCTTGACCCGGCTTGGCTTATTGATACTGTGTTTACTGAAATACCTGACCTCAGTTTGTTTTCCTTCACTCTGATATTTTACCAGCTAAAGGCTTTATTAAGCCCGGCCACACTAATGTCCGGTAATACGCTGCTATACCTTGAATAACATAGGTTAAGCATTGTGTGTAGGGTGTGCATACTTACCTTCACACCAAGATTTCAAATGCAAAAGAAAGTTGCAAAACAAATTACATGCATATTTTTTGTGTTTGATTTTTATGCAGTGTTTCTTTAAGCAAAATTCCATTTAGTTTGCCAAGTCCCTGGGGTCCTTCTATCTGCTCCTCACTGCTCCCGCGCGCGGTTTAGTAATGCCAGGTGATGAAATATGACATCATATTACGGCGCCCGGCTTCACTACAGCAGTGAGGAGCAGGAACACTGAGCTCCCTCACTGGCCCTCCTCCCCGGCCGGGTAAGCACCTGCAATGTGGGGAAAGCAGGTACCTAGTCTGCTATAACACCAGCATGTACTCGCGGCTCGCCGGGCCGCAAAGATGGTCCTAGTGGGCAGCATGCGGCCCACGGGCCGCGAGTTTGGCATGCTTGCACTAGGAGGTGCATGCAGAGGGTCACTCAAGATGAGCATGGAGATGAACATAAGGGGACATATAGAAGGACACTCACAAAGGAGGCCTAATGCATGGACCAAGGGGGGTGATGTCAAATTGAGGAGAAGTAGGGAGTGACACCTGATTTGTATGTGAAACGTACAAGCTACCACTAGTTTAGATAATCAATGGTAATCCAGGACTTACAATTTACAAGTGTCCTTTAAATGTGGCATTAAAGGTTAAGTTAGTCAAAGCTCCCATTAATGCATTCTATTTTTTATGGAAAAGAGAGAAAGTAATAGGCGCTCACTATAGAAATTGATGAGTAAGCAGCAGTATACAGAGCAAGGATTCCCAGAACCTTGTGAGTGAATAGAAAAAAAGAAGAAAAATGTAAACCGCGCTGTTATAAATAGTACATACATATAGTAGTAGATACTTCCAATGAGTCAAAAGAACCTCGGAAAAAAATAAAGAAAAATAATAGTGCGATACAGTACAAATATATTAAGTGCTGATTTTGACTGTAACTCAATCCACTCATATTCGTATGAGCTATAACAGTGACTTCTGAAGAAGCCTACCGGGCGAAACGCGTTAAGTGGGACTCTCCTTTACATTTTTATATAATTTTTATGTTCTATATTATGTTTTGTTTATATTAAAGTATACTTTTTAATAGATACTTTTATCCATCCCTTCTTTACTTCCTGGATCCTGTATATCCTTGGTGGGGATTATACCGCCTAAGCTGTCTGTACTAGAGCAAGTTGTATGCTCAAAAAATTGTACGTACATTACTATTTATTACCAGCTTCACCATTAGGACGTACTTCACTATTGGCTGCTATTTTTCTCTCTACTATGCATACTGCACTCTGAAATATTTGGATCAACCTGAAGAACACATCCTGAGACGGGGATCGTACCATCCAAGCGCACTACAGCAGAGCTCTGTTATAGGTCATACAAATGTGAGTGGATTGAGTTACAGTCAAAATCAGCACTTAATATATTTGTACTGTATCGCACTAATATTTTTCTTTATTTTTTTCCGAGGTTCTTTTGACTCATTGGAAGTATCTATTACTATATGTATGTACTATTTATATTTATAACAGCGCGGTTTACATTTTTCTTCTTTTTTTCTATTCTATTTTTTATAAAAATAATACACTGACAGAAAAGTGTGTATGATAATAAATCTTGCGTGGATAGGTAAGTAAATGATTATACACATCTGAAATTAATTGATAATTTTAATAGTTACATAACATTATTTAAAAATAATGTGTTTAAAAATAATTGTATTTTTAAATAAAAATACAGAAAGTTTAGTCGTTTATGAAAAATATATGTGAAGGGACACTCCAGACCCCTAATGCCCTACAACTGGCAGAAATTATCAGTGTCCTTTTTACAAAAAGTGAGGATTTGAATAGAAATTAGTACTTTTATAAATTAAATTTGTTACACAGACCAGGCTTTCAATCAGACAACCAGTAATCAGAGTAAAATACAAAACAATGGAAATCGCTAGAGAAAACAATACTATAAAAGAAAAATATAGGAGGCACTAAACCTAGCGTAGGGTTCCCTACTAACAAGAACAATTCAGATGTTAAAGAGAGAAGGGTTGCGCCGAAGAAAAAAGCTAAGTACTTAAAAATATATCTTTAAAATAGTCCAATAGAAATGTCAAATTCAAACTACAAATAATGCCAAAAAGAGTCCTAGTGCAAATCTTGCCAGAGAGACAGCCAACAGTCTTGTGGGAGCAATGTTCTCAGTAGGAGCTGGATAGGAACAACTTGTGGGATCCGTATGTGGAAACAAAGAAAGGATGATAGTGCAATAAATCCAATATAAAAGGGGTTATTAAGGCAACCAGTAATCCGGGCCAGCACACAGCTAGGCAAACTAGGCAGCCACCTAGTCACAGCCAGTGGCTGAACTACAGGGGTTGCTGAGGTTGACGAGGGGACCGGGCCCCATGTGTACTGCCTGTTAGGAGGCCTATGAGCTGGCATCACCTCAGGGCCCCACAAGAGGCAGTCAACTGTTCGCTGAGGCAGAGAATGCACCTGCTTACCTGAACTGGAATATAGTGTGTCCAGGGAGGGCTGAGCACTAATGCTTCTGCTCCATCGCGTGCCCTCTGTTGTGATGTGGGAGCTGGAATATGATGTCACTCTGGCATTGGCCTCATTAAACAACACATGAGGGAGCAGTGAGGTAGAAAAAAGATTCAAAAAGTCCTAAACTAGGGAGGCTGGTTGGACCTAAAAATAATTATAATAAAAGACTATGAATAAAATTAATTTGTAAGTGTGTGTTTGAGAGAATGTGTGTGTGTGTCAAATCACTGGGTGTTTGTGTATCAGTGAGTTTGTCAGTGAGCATGTATGTGTTAAAGAGTATTGGAAATTATTATAAGTTTTTAACAAGTCACCCTCCTTCTACACACTTTTTCATAGGGCTCTCTTTTTTTCCTCTGTGGCAGCTCTGGGAGAAAGTAATTTTAAGTCATGAAAAGTTTGTAGTTTCAAGTTTCATATGTTAAATTTTTTTCTACAATTTTTTTTATTTTTTATTTAAGTTGACAGTTTTTGTTGTTTTGGGAGGGGGTAGGGGGATAGGGGAAGGCGGGGTGCATGTAGCTGGTCTTACCTAGGGAGCAAAATTGTCTAGCATCGGCCGGCCCTGCTGGCAATTTTACTCCATGGTTGGCTAGCTCAGTGGAGCTAAACTCAAGAGGCAGCAATTACCCAGAGCACCTGCCTAGTAAAGATTTCTCATTGAGCCGCATTGGGAAATCTGTGATTGGGCAGGGTTTGAAGAGGAAGGCTTTCAAAAGTTTTATACAAGATATTTTTAGCTATTTTCCTAATGGGGAAAAAAGCATAATTAAGTTCATGCAAGTTTTCATTGGGGTATATCTACCAAATGTTTTTTTTTCATTTATTATTATTTATTATTGGAGTATATATACTAAATGCTTTACTTATTTATTGTATTTGGGCAATGGAGTGTCCCTTTAATAAGACAGAAATTTTTAAATTTATGGCTATCCCCTTATTTAGCAAAATCACCTTGAAAAATTCACCTGCATTGAAGTTATATTGTTAGGTTTATTTACTAAACACACAAAAATTAATGAATTTGAATTAAATTTAAACTTCAGGTCAAAGCAACTGAACTTTTCAGTTTCTCCAACTAGGTTATAGTAACAGTTATTTTAGCTAAAATGTTGTAGTTTGGTTTAAATTCACTACATTTTTGGTGTTTAGTGAATAATCCCCATTGACATTCTAAGAAAAAAAAAATACAAAATCCCAAAAAAAAGCACTCATCAATTTCTCTTCAATTAAAGGTTTGTGATGGGACATAGAATCAGTCTGGTGATTTCCTATAATTATGTCACATGAGTTGCCTTAAAGAGCATCATCTGGCAAAAATATCATATGTCTTCTGACCAAAAGCTGAGCAAAAAAGAGGAAATAAGATTTATCTTTTTTTATCAGCAATTATGCTGATTATCTTGTAAAGAGGCAGACTGTTAATATTAACCAAGATGACGGCTTAAGCACTGTTAGATTTCCAGCATACTACTGTAATCCCTCCCCGTTCTGTTACTTTCAAGAATGACTCCCATTACACTCAGCTATTTAGAGGCTAGCTGTGTGTGTAAGGCTTTTAATCCACCACAGCCACATATGCTACAACCACAGTAGAACCAATACAAAAGAGGGTGTTAAGGGCTACGCTAAAAAATTACAATTAAAATTAAAATAAATCAGCAAGTAATAGTGAAAACAGATATAATCAATAGACAAAGTGCGTCCAAGAATAAATTAAAACAGTCTCACTGATGTGTGATGATAAGATAATAGTCCTCAGGTGTTGATCTGTCCATATGGTGGCAAATAGTCCATATACGTGGAAATAGAAAACAAAAAGAAAGCTTCCAATGGTGAAATATTGTATGTCCAATTGTGATGTATAAATCAAGAGAAAGGTATTTCACTCACATTTGTTGGAGCTTGAACCAGCTCTAGGAGAAGAGGAACTTAGTGGTTTGATCCCCACTATAGGATATACTTGGATAGTTGGTCCGTCTGTCCGGCTTGGGATTTCCTTGGTGTAGGCTGGGACCTGGTCAGATGTGCGTAATTCTTTAGTGCTGGGGGGATAGGTCCGCCTCTCCAATTTTGGATAGTGGGTATCCACGAAATATATATAAAACAGCAGATAGTGCTCTCAGTATGAACAATAAAACAATTTTATAATTCATTTTATTGTTCATACTGAGAGCACTATCTGCTGTTGTATATATTTTCGTGTGAACATCTTGCACATGGCTACTCTGTGCTGGATTGTCTCAAAGGTCTCTGTGCACAATCTGCACCTTAGATCCCATCCAGGGATAGCTTCTATTAATCTGGTGCTGAGTGCCTTTTCCTGTGCTGCAAGGATTCATGCCCAAGTGTTGTCTTTTAGTCCTACTTTTTCCAACCACTTGTAAGATTTTGTAATGTGGGTCACATGCATTATTTGTCAGTGGTACGTCCTATGGAAAATGTTGTCTTGCCTTGGGACCTCCTCCTTATCTGCATCATCTTTCTGTTGTTGTCTCATTCATTCCCTTAGCAGGTCATCTTTGTGAGCCATCTTTGTGATATACATGCGGATGGGCAGAGTTTCGTCTAGATCTATGGCCTTAACATTTATTAGGCCCCACTTCAATCCTTTTGGCACAAACTCTGAGTGCTGGACTTTTGGTGGAATCCTTCATACATTATGCATTGTTTGTGGGTCTTGATATTCATGGCCAGGTTATTTTGCCAGTTTGGTACCTGGTGAATGATAGGGCACATTTGTTAATATACTTGTTCTTGGCATTGAGCTGGGTCATCAGGAACAGTCTGACTCTCTGGTGGTACTTGGATGTTTGCTTCTTTCTCATGGTTGCCTTGTGTTTGTGGTATGCCCAGGTATTCTAGCAGTTCTTTAAATTTCCAATGAGAGAGGCTACATGAAATGTCTGTCGTTGCTATGGATGAATAAGAGACCATCAGCATTTCTATCTGAGCAGCAGGAAATGCTAGCAGAATGCTTGGTTGTATAGGGAGAAGTATTAGCAGTAGAAAGAGGGAAGTGCTCATGCCATTGTACAGAACACTGGTGAGATCTCACTTGGAGTATTGTACCCACTACTGAAGACTATATCGTCATAAGGATATTGGTACTTTGGAAAGAGTTCAGAGAAGGGCTACTAAACTGGTTCATGAATAACAGGATAAAATTTACCAGGAAAGGTTAAAGGAAAGACAAGACAGGCGGTATGTGATAGAAAAATTTAAATATTTAAAGGGAATCAACACAATAAAGGAGGAGACTATATTTAAAAGAAGAAAAACTACCACAAACAGAAGGACATAGTCTTAAATTAGAGGGGAAATTTTAAAAAATAATTTCAGAAGGTATTACTTTACAGACAGGGTAGTGGACGCATGGGATAGCCTTCTAGCTGAAGTGATAGAGGTTAACACAGTGAGGGAGTTTAAGCATGCGTGGGATAGGCATAAAGCTACCTTAGACTTAAAGGAAAACTCCAGTGCCAGGAAAACAATCCGTTTTCCTGGCACTGCAGGTACCCTCTCCCTTCCACCTCCTATCCCAGGTAGCTGAAGGGGTGAAAACCCCTTCAGGTCACTTACCTAAGACCCTGCCGATGTCCCTCAGCGGTGGTTTCGGGTCGGCGTCTCTCGTCCCAGTAATCACGTCAGCCAGTGGGCGAGACTGATCCTGCTCGCCGGCTGAGGAAACCTAATGCGCATGCGCGGCAATGCCGCGCACGCGCATTAGGCCCCCCATAGGAGAGCACTGAAAAAGATTTTCAATGCTTTTCTATGGGGAATTGAGCGACGCTGGAGGTCCTCACACAGCATCTAGTAGACAGCCACTAGAGGTGGATTTAACCCTGCAATGTAATTATTCTGCAATTACAGTTGCAGGGTTAAGAGTAGTGGGAGTTGGCACCCAGACCACTCCAATGGGCAGAAGTGGTCTGGGTGCCTGGAGTGTCCCTTTAAGATAAGGCCCGGGACTAATTTAAAGTATTTAGAAAATTGTACAAAAAACAAGAGGAAGGAAGATAGTACAATAATCTTACTCCTGAGCGGGGGTTAACCCCTAGTGCACTATAAAACTAAACAATAGGGAAGGGAGACAGGAGAAAGGACAGGATAAATGATAGAGTGTCCTGCAGAGTGGTAGTACCCGCGTTATAGAAGGGTGACCTTAGGATAGGTTGGGCTTGGGGAGATCACAAAAGAGGAAAGATAATTAAAACTTCACTTTTAATGTAAATAGTTAAAAAGGGGGTATACAAACACATTTTAGTTCAAATAACTGTTGTAAGAAATCCTCAAGTGATACAGTTACACTGCCTGTTAACAGAGTCAAATGCCACTGTGGGAACAGCAGCTACAAATTAGTAGTGTCAATAATGTATCAATGTACCAGTACCCGGGCTCAAGGAAAAATAGCCAAGTCCCAGTGAGGTGCACTGAAGCTGTTAACAAAGCTGATAACAATGTTTACCGAAACTGCAGTGCCTGGACTCCAAAACAAGCTTGAGAGTGCCAGTATACTGCAGAAAAGAGCATCTCAGAAATGATGACAGGGTCCTGTGTTAAAGACCGTGAGAAATAGCATCTAGAGGTATGTGCTGGCGGGAGTATCTGCAGTATGGTAACTAGAAGGTGCAAACTGCAACATGTTTCCTGGTAGATTCTGCAGGAACTGGCTTAATGACCAACAGGCTATGGGAAGAGAGGGGTTAACTACAAACACTGGAAATCCTAGTGTTATGGTATATGCTGGCAGGAGTATCTGCAGTATAGAAACTAGGAGGTGCAAACTGCAAAATGTTGCCTGGTAGATTCTGCAGGAACTGGCTTAATAATATTTAGGCAGACTAGATGGGCCAAATGGTTCTTATCTGCTGTCTCATTCTATGTTTCTATGTCTTCTGGCTCTTCAATTCCATCAGACTAAATCATCCTACCTCTTTTTGCTATCATTCAGCAACTTTCATTAAGATCAAACAACATTCCGATGTTCTTGTTGTATATTCTGGTAGGTATATTGGTTAAACTCACTCTTGGCATACAGTTTGATGTCATCCATGTAGAGGAGGTGGTTCATTGGAGCTCTGCTCTTGAACCTGTGTCTTTATGATTACCTGGTTGAGCTGATTGAGACCTGTGTAGGATGGCATGAGGATAGCGCATCAACTTGGTATATGCCATGTTTAATGTTTATTTGTGTTATTGTCCTGGAATTGACTTATAGTGTTGCTCTCCACTTGCATAGTGAGGTCTTGAGGAATGCTCTTAGTGTCTTGCTGATATGGTATACTATCCAAGCAATCCAGGATCTATGTGTGTGGCATTGTGCCATAGGATTTTTTGTAGTTAATCCAGGCTGTGCACAGATTGGTCTTTTTAGTCTTTGAATCCTACGTGACTGCTTGGTCTACCAGTACCTAGTGTTTTGAGTTTTTGATGTTTCCAATCCCCTTCTGTGTATTGCTCATGTATTGACACATATTCTCATCGGAGGTTATGTTGCCTAAGAGGACCTTTCATTTTGTGGGGAGGCAGGTGATTAGTCAGTAGTTAGAAGGTGTTGTTCCCTTAAGAGGCTCCTTCATGATCAGTTCTGTTCTGCTTTGTGGTAGCCAGTCGGAGTGGGAGCCTGCTGTAAGTAGCTGGTTCGTTTGTGCTACTAGGCGCTCATACAGCATTGCTCATTTCTTTATCCCGTAGGTTTGGGTCATATCAGTTCCTGGTACTGACAAACTCTTCAAGTGGGTTACTTATTGGGCAACTCCTACTGTGATGGTGACTGGTTCATGTTCTTCTTTTTGCAGTGGTTTGCTTTCAGGTCTAGTAACAACTGGGCCTTGGTGGCTTGGTCCTTTCTACCAGATGTGCTTCCAGTACTATTCAGTCTTAGCTTTTTGGTGGATATGTTTTTACGCTGCAGCTGTGAATACATCTTGGACTGTTCTTTGGTAGACAAGGCATTTTGTTCCCTTACCCTCTGCTTATCTGATATATATCTGCTCAGTCTGATTGCTACTACTGTTAGTCTTTGCTTTTGCTTTGGGCATACCATTGTATTTCCTCAGTAGCCGTGGTCTTTCTACCTCTGTGACGTTGATCCCTCTCACTGCAGTTGGAACTTGGGCAAACACACGTTTTGCTAAATATGCATCAGCAGTGAGGGGAATAACAAAACAAATATTATTCACTAACGTGATAATTTGTGGATTCAAAGTGAGTTCTAATTGATTTTTTCCAGTTTGGATATTTTGATCCACGATTTAAAATTCACTTTCAATTACTTTAGTAAATAACCCTGCTTCTTTTTTTATTATTATTATTATCGCCATTTATATAGCGCCAACAGATTCCGTAGCGGTTTACAATATTGTGAGAGGGGGGATTTAACTATAAATAGGACAATTACAAAAAACTTACGGGAACAATAGGTTGAAGAGGACCCTGCTCAAATCGAACTTGCATTTTTCTTTGGAGACATCTCTTTTCCTTAAAGTTTGGAAACCATGTAAGATTTGGATATTAGGCTTGGGATCCTTTTTAGAAACACAGACAGACACAATTTGCTAAATGTGCTAGATTTTGAGGTCCGCTTAACAGCTTCAGCTTGTGTTCCAGCTGGATTCTTAATGGCCAATGATACTGCTGCATAGTGACAGAGCAGTGTGTCTTTATGCTCACTGACATGCTACAGCAATGAGCTGCCGTGGATCTGCTGAATTGTGCCAGTTCCCTAGTGCTGATGTCAGCTCACTTCACGAAGCACACTGAATAAAGAAGATTTATTTGCAGTGCAGGCACTTACATCTTATGTGCTGGTGTTGCTTTAGACTCTGTATCCTTGTAAAGATGTGTTACACCATTCCATGAGATGCACAACCTAACAGAAAATAATAAGAAATATTAATTAGATATGCACTACTATTATCAAAAAATAATAACAATACTAGATAATAACTATGACCCTTCCCTAGACAAAATTTCTTTTGCTTTGCTATGCCCTATTTATCTTGTCCACCCACTCTTATTTAATTAAAACCCTACAAAATAAATTAATGCTTACCTTTAATCTGGCACTGGATAAGGTCCTCCTAGTTTTGTTTCTACGTCTTGTCTGACATCACGCCAAGTTATGCGTGGTCCAATCAAAGACTCTCGAAAGGGAGGGAGACAGGACAGAGGGAGGTGACACTGAAGCTTCTCCTTACAGATGCACTGCCCACAAGAGAGGCTCATTACAAATGTCACCAGCACTCAGTGTGCACTGATGATAGACTTTTGTTTTTGCACAGAATTGACATTAGGCAACCAAAACAGAGTGTCACACCCTCACAAAAGTTCAAACTCATACTACAATGACCTCTTCTGAAAGCAACCCTTAGTGAGGCCTATAAAAAAAAACACAAAAAAAAAACCATGAGCTGCCTTGCTTGTCCCAGCAGGTCTGGGAATCTAAGGTTTATTTATGAAAAGAAAAAAAAGAAAAAACTAATGGACAACCACAGGCCCACCCACTTACAATGTTAAGCTAATACCCACTGCACTTTTTTACAGTTAATCATTTTCTGATTGCTGAAACAAGCACTTCCGAGTAGGACTAATTTAAAAATTCACAGGACTTCCCCCCCAAAACAATTTCATTTCAAAGATATATGTCAGTGTATATGGTGGCGATCCAGGAACGGATTTTTCATCAGACAGCAGAGGCCACGGCCTCGGGGCGTTCTTGCTGGAACCTTGCATCATTGGTGGTACAGCAGGAGTGCTCGGGCAAGAAAGAGAAATGGCTCTTTCCCCTTCTCACTTGGCACCAGCAGTAGCAGGTCCTCTCTTCCCTGCAGGCAACCGAAGGAACTTGACATCATTATCATAACTTTGTGCAATCTCCCCTACCACCAGTTACAGGAGAACAAGTAGGAGAGGGCACAGAATAGTACAAGTAAGCAAACGGGAGTAAGTGCTGGATTGGGAGAGAATAGAACAATTGTGTGAGGCAGGGGGACAGAAGAACAGAACAGGTGATTGAAAGGGGAAAGAAGAGGTGAGCAAATGAGGGAAAGAAGGAAAGAAGAGGGGAACGCGTGAGGGATTTGTAAAGTAAAAGGGTATACGTGAGGTAGGAGGAGTGAAGTGAGGGATGGGGAAAGAAGAGTGAAACAAGTGAGGAATAGGAGGTAGATAGTAGGAAGGAAGGAGGTAGAGGTAGGAAGAAAATGATAACAATCAAGGGAAGGGGAAACAAGAAGAGGGTAACAATTAAAGAAAAAGAGGGCTATGGGAGAGGGGCAAAATTGGGGTAAGGGGAAAGTGAGAACATGTGATGGTGACCAAAATGAATAGAGGGGGATTGAGAAAGAAAAAGAGGGGCAGATAAGAATTGGGAACACACAAACACACCCACACTTACATACTAAACATTTACCTATTTACACTAAAACGTCTCAAAAATATGCTCTTGAATGCACACACTTGCACTCTATAAAACACACCACTAAATGCACACACTAGCTCTCACACAAATACACCCATCATTCACATGTAGTCAATAACAGTTCACACACATATGATATTACATGCACATTGTCATTCAGCCACATACTCCGAACCGGTCATATTTCACTATCCACCCAGTCAGATCGTCCCATCTCATCTCCCAGTCATACCCACTCAACCTGTCACATTCACACACTTGGTCACATAACATGTTACCTACCAGTGCCCACCTTGCACTTATTGCCATCCAGCCTTCAAAGTAGTCATAATTCCCAATCAGTCATGTGGATTCATCCATCCAGTCACATACCCCAAACTAGTCACATTCATCTATCCAATCAAATACACCATGCTTCATATATATAAATGGCAGTGGCACAATGAGAAAACTGACCTTGAGGCAGAAGAGAGGGTAAATCCAGCCCTTTGGATTCCACATAGTTGTCAACGATTCCCAATTTGCTGGGCCATTCCAATGTTTTGGGTTCAGAAGAAATTAGCTCTAGAGCCTGCCACAATTCATTAGTGGAACTACCAGTGGTGCATCCAGTGAACCCACACCAGAGCCCACCAGAAGGTTGTTAGAAATGTGTGTTTTCTTGATCTATTTTTTGTTTGTCTGTCAGTGTGTCAGTGTGTGTGTGTGTCAGTGTATCACTGTATTATCTGTATGTGTTTGTCATTCTATATATATATATATATAAATAAGATGCCAAGATACCAGAGTATTGCAGTATGCAATGATACCTTTTTTTATTGGACTAACATAATATTTCAAAGACAAGCTTTGAAGAGTTTTCCTCTCTTCTTCAGGTCGAAAGCAATATTGATCAATCTGATAGAGTTTAACACTTAAAACAACTGATGTTAGAGAAGTGGAGGGAGGGTGGGTGGGGTGTCATAAATAGCCAAAGATGTGCTTGAAAGTGAAAGGTGCAGGTTGGCTGAGAATAGCCACAAAAAGTAAATAAACAGAAGTGAGTCAATAAGCTAGTTGAAAAGAGAAAACAAATATGACTATTCATGGCTTTTTATGACACCCAAATACCCCCCTTCTCTATCATCAGTTGTTTTAAGTGTTAAACTCAGATTGATCAGTATTGCTTCAGACCTGAAGAAGAGAGGAAAACTATATTGTCTTTGAAATGTTATGTTAGTCCAATAAAAAGGTATCATTGCATACTGCAATACTCTGGTATTTTGGCATCTTGTCTACTGGACTAATACAGCTAATCCAATCTACACTATATATATATGTCCATGTGTGTGTCTGTAGGTATTTGTGTGTATATGTTTGTGTCAATGTATCAAAGTATGTATCTGCATGTGTGTCATGTGTGTGAACATTTGTGTGCATACTTGCCAAAACATGTCCCAGGAAATATTATTCCATTGTTGGCAACTATATAACGGGGGAACATATGCAAAATGTTCACTAATACTTAACTGAACCTCTCTCTATTTGGCACAGACGTGTTTCTCTTCAGCTCTGTCTTCAGCTGCTGGTGATTTAATCTGCCAGGAGCCTGAATAAAGTTCTGTGAAAGACTCTGCAAAACAATCTCACATGCTACATAGATGATCTCATGTACTCACAATATAACAAGAAGCCTCAGGCATATATTGCGGATTATGTACGGAGATATATCTGTTCCTATCAGCTGTACCATTGCATCTCTTTCTACTATATCTGTTGAAAGTCGAAAGACGTTGCAGCAGGAGCTGCTTTTAGCTCTGCCTATTTTATTTCCATATTTCGCCAAAAATCCTGTGAAATTCCCTTGCAAACTTTGTTATTTTCATAAAGATTCTATCTTCATGAGAAACTCAAAAATGACCGTGTCAGAGTCAATGTAGGCACCACACCACTGCAGCACACTATTCTGGATGTGATTCCAGGTGTCCCTGTCACCATTCTTCCAGGTAAAATTCAAACCATTTTTGAACAGCATAAATCGTACTAGTGCCCCCATGGCCCTGCAGTCCAATCTGTTCTTACTACATATCAATAATTCAGAAGTTACTATATCCATATTAGCGATATTGATTCTGCCCATGTTTGAAAATTAATTAATTTGATTAGTATCTCAGCTAACACTCGTAGCGAGCCATAGTAGTTCTGGTGCTTAGATTAGCCTTTTAAGAATGGTTATCACAGCATACTGTAGTGGTTATGGTGCTTGGCACATTCTATTAACCGAGGTAGCTCTGGTAGGATAGAAATATGATGAGTTGACTTTCACTTTTTATGCTTTTCCTATTTACACCCATTTACTTATAAACCCTCTCATTTACATCCCTGCACATTCACACTTTGTTGATCCTGCACACACACAACTATAATAACAGACACAAACACTGCATGCTACAGGCAAAACATAAATCAGAATGATGTTTGCACACTTTTGAAGAGTAGAGATGTCGCGAACCGTCCGCGAACTTCTCGCGAACGGTTTGCCGCGGTTCGCCACGAACGTCCCGGCCAATCTCCAGCAGTCCCTCCCTCCCAGACCCTCCTACTTCCTGGACAGCATCCATGTTTCAAAAAGAACGGCGAACCGTTCGCAAGAAGTTCGCGGACGGTTCGCGACATCTCTATTGAGGAGGTGAGTAACTTTTAAGTCTTGCTAATATGTCACAACTTGGAATTTGGAGCCCAGGCTTTAACAATAGACCTGGTCTGTGGAACATTTTGGACACAATATATTATATTTGCAACTCAATCACTAACCTGCTTTATAGCGTTAATCTCTCAGCCGTGTGCATTTGGCTTTCAAAAATAAGTTAGGTGTTATGGAGATAGATTGTAAACAAATAGCAGCTGTGATTTTCAGGAACAAATGGCTTGAGAATGACTCAGCAAAATATACAAAATATAGAAAAAAAGTGAGAAACATATTTTGCTGTTATCTTACGACTGTGCTGGAAATCAATATATATAATGTTTAAAAGCTAAATTTAAAGGGACAATCTAAGCATCAACACCACTACATCTTAAATATATTTATTTTTAATGTTGGAGTGTTCCATTAATATGTTGGTGCATAGATTGGAGGTTAGGCAACCTTCGGCATTCCAGAAGTTGTGGACTACATCTCCCATAATGCTCTTACGGCTATACTGCTTTCAGGGCATCAGGGAGGATGCAGTCCCCAAGATCTGGAGTGTTGATCTGGGGTTGCTGGAATAGACACTGTCCCTGCACTCGGACAGGTTACATAGTTACATAGCTGAAAAGAGACTTGTGTCCATTAAGTTCAGCCTTCCTCACAAATGTTTTTGCTTTTGATCCAAAAGAAGGCAAAAACCCTGGTCTGAAGCGCTTCCAATTTTGCAACAAACTAGGAAAAAATTCCTTCTTGACCCCAAAATAGCAGTCAGATGTCTCATTGGATCAAGCAGCTATTACCCCACTAATTAGAAATGATATCCCTGTATGTTATGCTTTTGCAAGTATTTATCCAATTGCGATTTAAACATCTGTATAGACTCTGATAAAACCACCTCTTGAGGCAGAGAACTCCCCATCCTTATTGTTCTTACTGTAAAAAAAACAACTTTTCTTTGCCTTAGACTTTGTCTATGCAAAGGTCATTTGTGAAAAATGGCAATGTTTACATTTGCCTGTCAGAATTCCTCTAGTAGGATCCTATGAGAAGCATTAGAATGACCTAAGATTATCTGTGAGAAGCAGAAAGATGGAGTGCTTGATGCTGTATGGTAAAAGTTGTTGCAAGAATTATAATTTCTCTCGTTGAGCGCTAATAGTACCAACTAGCTAATACACAGTCCAGTCAGATTAACTGAAGGTAAAGAATTGAAGATAGTTATTATATTTTCTATGTCTTGTTTTGTTTTAAGAAAAGCCATATGTCAAAGTGCTTCTTGAAATATTGTTTTAAATATATAAAACTCTTACTATATTGTGATGATATGTCTTGTATGTTATATATTTTATATATGTGCATATTTAAAATGCATGTTAAGGTAAGATCAAGGGAGTGCCAATGTCAAATTCACGCCTTCCACAAACACACTCTTCTTCCTTACAAAACATACTTAGATCATGCCCCTGTAAACCTAGATTTGAACATGGGTGATTTGCTCTTGAACTTTCAAAACTGGCGATGACCTAGCTATATTTGTGGCAATGCTATTTAACACCTTGCTTGATCCTCTGCTCTCCTGGCTAGCCTCAAAGGTAGTAACACAAGGACACACAATTTCCTATATTGCGTTTGGAATCTACCTAAACATCCCTCAAACTATAGCAGGACTGAACATGTGGAGAAAAGGGGTATTATGGCATTAGTGGAATCTACAAAAAATTACTTCTATTTCTGGGATATCAGGTTGAGCAAACTGCTCATGAACATAGGTTAAGTTGGAATCAATCACTCTTTTCAGACTACACGGGTCCAGCAACTCATTTGTATATGATTGCAAAGGCATTAATTCAACAATTTAAAGTTACTGTTCACAGATTTACACTGTAGCCCCCAATGATGAGATAAGGGGTTTAAATATTTTAAATGAGGCCAGACTGGAAAGACTGACTATGGACATTTTATGGGCTTTATCCAACCTTAAACCTCGGGAAAAAACCCAGGATCTGATTCAATACTGACTTTTGTTTACTTCTCATTTATAGATTGAGGACCCCTGCACTTCTCTATTTAATAAAATGTAACCAGACACGATTTCAGCAATGTCACTGACCACAGAAAGAGCTATAGTAATTCTGAAACTGAGTCAATCTGTTGATTTAAAAATGTTTAGGAAAACAATAGCATGTTGTAAGCAAGACTTTCATCAGGGCCTAGATCTCCAGCTGTGGCTGTCTGGGCCTAGATTTCCAGCTGTGGCTATGAAAAGGCAATCCTTGAGTTAGCAGGGCATTCTCAGCTCTGTGTCCCCTCATCTGCTCGAAGGAGCTTTGTGGTCTTGCAGATCACTTTAAGAGATTCTTCGCTGTCCCCCTTGCTTCTCGACTCAGAGCACCACAGCCAGTTCTCTGAGTCATTGACAGAGCATCAGACCACAAGTGAGTTTTTAAAGTGTTCTGCACCTGCAGGGCTGGTGCAAGGATTTTTGCCACCCTAGGAAAACAAAAATGTGCCGCCCCCATATGCTCTGCCCACTATGTGACACCACAATGCCCCACCCATCTGATCTGCCATATCAGCCAATGCCAGTGCTGCACACAATATCTTTTCTCTAAAACATTAAAAGACCACTATAGTGCCAGGAAAACATACTCGCCGGGCTCTAGGGGGTGGAAGGGGTTAAATTTACCTCTTTCTCCAGCGCCGGGCGGGGGACTCTCCTCCTCCTTCTCGTCGTCATCGGCTGAATGCGCATGCGCGGCACAAGCCGCGCGCATTCAGCCAGTCCATAGGAAAGCATTCACAATGCTTTCCTATGGACGCTGGCGTCTTCTCACTGTGAAAATCACAGTGAGAAGCGCGGAAGCGCCTCTAGCGGCTGTCAATGAGACAGCCACTAGAGGCTGGATTAAGCCTTTTATAAACATAGCAGTTTCTCTGAAACTGCTATGTTTATAGAAAAAAGGGTTAATCCTAGCTGGACCTGGCCCCCAGACCACTTCATTAAGCTGTGTGTGTGTGTGTGTGTAGGGGATGTGTTTTGTGTTATTGTAGAGGATGTAATGTGTGTGCTCTTATGGAATGTAATATATAGGGATATCAATTTGTGCAAGGGATGTAGTGTGTGTGTTTCTGTGTAAGGAATGCATTGTGTGTTTCTGGTTGTGTGTGGGTAAGGGATGCAGTCTGTGTATGTATGTAATGTAATGCAGTGTGTGTGTCTGTAAGGGGTGCATTGTGTTTCTGTATGTAAGAGAAGCAGTGTGTGTTTGTGTGTGTGTGCGTAAGGGATGCATTGTGTGTTTTTGTATGTATGGGATGCATTGTGTGCTTCTGTGTATGTGTAAGGGATGCATTGTGTGTGTGTGTGTGTAATGGATGCATTGTGTGTTTCTGTGTGAGAAAGGGAAGCATGGTGTGTTTCTGTGTGAGTGTAGGATGCATTGTATGTTTTGGTGTGTCTGTGTGTGAGACCCTTAATGATCTCTTTCACTCGCCCCGTCCCTTAGTAATCTCATCTCCTCTTCTCCCCCTGTCCCTTAGAGGTCTCCCCTCCTATCCCTTGAAACCCTCCCCTCCCCTGCTGTCCCTTAGTGTTCTCCCCTTCCCTCCTGTCCCTTAGTGCTCTCTCATCCCCTCCTATCCCTTTGTGCTATATTATCCCCTCCAATCCCTTAGTGCTATCTTATCCCCTCCAATCCCTTAGTGCTCTGCCATCCCTTAGTGCTCTTCCATCATAGTGCTCACCCCTGTTCCCATGTCCCATGCCCCCTGTCCCCTAGTGCTCTCCCCTTCCCTCTCTTTATGTTATAGCTTTCCATTAATTATATAGTACTTTACATACTCTGAAAACCCC